CCCCCCCCCCCCCATGCCGGTCCTGGAGGTTCACTTTGATTGTGGCGGAGAGAAAAGTCGTTCACTACCCCCAATCCTTTGCCCCGCCACGCCCCCCAGCGGCCACAACCAGCGATGCTTCTCAATTTGACATCTCTCAAGTCAGGCTCCTCCCTCTCGCTGGGCTTCCACATCCAATCATCAGCGACTCTCCCGTGGAGCCCCGCCTCTCCCGCGGGGCCCCGCCTCCCTCACGTGATCCCGCCTCTCCAATGGGGCCCCGCCCCTCCAACCCAACTGCCGCCACCTAACTGGCTCCACCCGGATGTTGCAGTCATCCCAGCTTAATCTCGCTGACACCCAGCTATGCACAGACACATCCAGGGCGCCTTGCTGCAAAGAGAATGAAGTCTGAACTCTGGCCGGCCTTGCAGGCTGCCACCAGCCGCAATAACCCACCTTCCTGCTTTATCTCTAGTCTCTTTATGTACCTCTGAATGTATACCCTGCCTAGTTCGACACAGGATGGACGGAGGCAGCTTCTGTCCGTGACTCATTCTGCCGTCAAGAAATGTGGCACAGGCCCTGGGTACTGTACCCAGGGCCTGTGCCACATTCATTGCCAGTATCCTGACTGCCACGTTTATGTGTCAGGGTGTGAAGTTGGGAGTCAGGAGAACAGTTACTTGTTTTTGCAAAGCCTGTTTCCCACTCTAAAACACAGTAAAAAGTCCTACCTATGTGGCATGATTCAATGGGTACTAATGTCCCAAACCTGGTGTAGGCCCTAGCCCAGAGTGCCTGGGTTCAAGTTGTGTTGATGAGTTGTCTTCCCCACAAGACCCTGGGAAAGTTCCTTCCTCCCTCTGCACTGCAGAGGCCTCCTGTACCAAACGCCGGCAGTATCTCCACCACTGGGGGATGGTGAAGATTCACTTAGCTAATTCATACTAAGTACTCAGTACATTTGTAACCAGTACTTTTGTCGGTTCCCCTTTCTCCTGGGGGCCAGACTGGGCTGATGCTGGGTCATTGTGAAGGTGAAAAGAGATAGTATGAAGCAAGCCCAAGGGATCAAAAGTCGAGATCCATTAAGTGCAGTTCTGGAGGTCCACCCAAGGTGCAGGCAAGGCCAGACACAGGCACCAAGGAAGAGGTAGGTGCTGGGAGCCAGAGGACCAGGAGCCAGGGGTGTGCCTGGCAAGAAAGTGAGAGGGCCACAAGGATGTAGAGAGGGGCTGTGGAGTGGGGACCCCAGGGCCTGCTCAGCACTCCAGGGCCTAGGCCTAGGCTCCCCTCCCTGCAGGCCTTGCTGCCAGGACCTGTGGAGACCCTTGGGTCCACAGAGCTGGCCAGTGAGGAAGAGAACACAGGCATTGAACAAATTTATTCATGAGAAGACTCAGGGTCCGTCAGGGAGGCCATCTACTGGTTACAAGCTCCAGAAGCTCTCGTCGGAACAGCCGTGAGGGTTGGGACACTCCCAGGCAAGCAGGCAGCCACCCTGGGCGCAGAAGCGCAGACAAGGGCAATTCCAGGGAACAAGGGATTTTCCTCACTGCCTGCCCTGCCCATCCCCGGGTCCCACACCCCTTGGGGTTAAAGTGCACTGGGAAGGAAGAGGTGGGCAGGGCTGGGGAGCTACAGAGCCCGGGTGAATGCTGGCTGCCCACACGGCCGTTCCTCTTGTCCTGGAGTTCCTTGAGGCTCAGCCAGAGTCCAGCCCACCCAGGTGGAGGTGAGGCCTCTGGCTAAGGGAGAAAACCCTCCCACCACCACCACCACCCCCCTCATCAGATATTTAGAAAGAGCTGCCCCAAGAGGGTGGGGCCAACTCCATCAGCTGAGGGACCCAGAACTTGGGGGTCAGTGGAAGGCACTAAGATCTCTAATGGGGGGAGTTGCTCTTCAGTGATGGTCTGGGGGATCATCCCTCTGCCCCCAGCCCCAGGAAGGCTCCTCTCCCTCTTCCCCTCCCTCTGCCAGGTAAGCCACGGAAGCCAGAGAAAGGCCCAGAAAGTCTGGCTCCCAGCTCTAGTGCCATGAGTCAGCAGGGTCCTGCCCAGGCCTGACTCCCAAACTACTCCATCGAGGGAGGGCCACTTCAGTGCCACTAGGGAGATGCTTCCCTGGGGATGGGGAGTGGGGTGGGGACCTCTGGGGGAACTTGTAGGGCAGGAGCTTCCTGCTTCTGGCAATGGTCTTCCTGGTCCAGCACTGCCCTCAAGGTTGAGGCTGGCAAGAGGCCCACCACCCTCAGCCCTGAAGCCCAGCTGCACCCCCAGGGACCCTGCCCCAGCAGGGGCCACAGGGGCCTTGGCCTGGCTCATGCCATCTTGGATGGCCTCACCTCCACCTCAGCAGCTCAGCCAACTTCTTCCCCCTCCCAAGGGCACATCTCTAGAAGGCAGACAGGAAGAGACCTCCCCTCCAAAAGAGAGACCCGAAGACCTCCGCTTTCTCCCCCCACTCTTGAATACATTAATTGTGCAGCTTGGCTCCAACCCCCCCTTCAGATCTCCATGGCAACAGGGCAGCATTCCAAGTCCAAGTCTGAATCCAAGTCCAGCCAGTGCCAAAGGAGGGGCTTCGGCCTCTCCCCGCAACTCCTCCCGGGAGGGTGAGACCCAGCTTTCCACAGGGGGATGAGAGGGGAGGAAGAGTTGGGGGCCTCAGTCCTCAGCCCCCTCTTCCTCGGTGTGGGGGGCCCCAGGAGGGTCCTCGGGCTCAGGGGTCTGCCCACCAGGGTGGGGGTGGGGATGGGGGTGGGGATGGGTGCCAGGCTGGGAGCCCGGCCCGTCCTCGCCCTGCACGTAGACACTCAGCCCCTCGTGGCTGGGCTCCTTGCCACAGGCCTGGCAGCTGCAGTGCAAGATCTTCTCCACCAGCTTGTCCACCCTGGGCACTTCCTCGTGGCCGGGGCACTCCAAGGTCACCTGGGATGGCAGGAGAGAAGGGAGGGGTGTTTCCGAAGGCCCAGGGCAGGTGGGAGGCCCAGGAGTAATAATATTTCCTCCCGGGACCAAGAATCCCAGAGCCTACCTGATACCCTGGTGAGTTCTACAGTCCCATGGCGGCGGGGGGGGGGCTGGGATTTGGCCCCTGCAGGAGCCACCAGACTGTCTCCTCACAACATCCCATCCCATCGCCTTCTAGCCATTCCCCACGGCAACCACAGAGCCCCTGGGGAAAATCCAATATGGCCTCCCCTGCTTAGCTACCCCTCAGCGCTCCCCACTGCACCTAGAGAAAAATCTTGACCCCTTGCTGAGGCCACCCAGGACCTGCAGGTACCACTGGCTGGCCTTTGTGCCCCTAACTTTGTACCGCTCCCACCAGCTCTGTGCTGCCTGATCGGCCTCAGAGACTGCACATGCTGGTCCCTCTGCCTAGAAGGTTTTTGTCCAGCCCATCCCCCCACTGCTTGCCCCAACCTCTGTCCAGTAAATTCCACTCAGTCTGTGGATCTGAGCTCAGACATCCCTTCTGAGCCCCATCTCAAGCCCCCAGCCCAGCTGAGGCTCACCCTGAAGGAATTCCATTTGCCTGTTTTTTTTGTTTGTTTTTTTTTGAGTCGGAGTCTCACTCCCAGACTGGAGTGCAGTGGCCGCTCCCGGCCACCGCAGCCTCGACCTGCTGGGCTCCAGCAATCCTTCTGCCTCAGGCTTCCAAGTAGCTGGAACTACAGGCACGCCGCT